GTTAGCCATGTCATTACGACATCAGAAATTATTTAAATTTATCATTGTCAATCCTTTTCTTTTGATTGGTTATGACACAATAAATATTCCACATATATTTTTATTGTTCACAGTTCTCAAAGTTTGACAGTAACATCATGGAACATTTCCAGTATTCCCATCTCTTGTTCTGCCGAAGTTTCATTCACTAGCTTTTGATGCACATAGTTAGAATCACAATTATTATAATCCCATAACTGAATATAAAATTTTACAATTTTTACAACTATTTTTATTTTTGTCACAACCAGTGTATGTGTACATAAACTTGGTTAAATGTTGTATTTTTATTTTAAAATGCTAGTAAACATAATAAGGGAGGTGACAGAAACCAAAGCTACACCTGGAGTACTTGATGCTTCCTTGGCTGGAGAATTCAAGGTAACACACTCTTCATTAAATGGATATTTGTGGTTCCGTGATTTTGAGCTCAAAAGAAAATGTTGAAAATTTGCCGGTGCAGATACCTTAAACAACTGTTAGAATCGTAATTGAACTGTGCTCATTTTCCTAAGCATAATAGATAGTAATCCGTCAGAAAATGTTTTCTCTGGTGGTGTTTGGCACAAATTGTTTGTTCAAATGATTGAAATCTCTCTCGTTGAAATTGGGATTGTTCATGATTAGTAAATTGTTAATCCAGTGGCAAAATACCTTTGTTTCAAGAATGTTGCTCATGATGATGAAGGTGATTTCATTGCAGCTCAAGACATGGCAATGCAGTGTCACAACTAACAGTTGTACAGTCATTCTGTGTGTTAGAGGCCTCCATTGTATATTCATCCCTTTTTGCTTCTGAAATGATCAAATCCGGTCCTGTAAAACAACAACAATTTATTTCTCACAATTTTCATTTATAGATAGCAATACAACTTTTTAATGTTTACAATGTTCTTTTTCAGTTTGTTAAGCCTCCTTCTAATTTCTGACAAATCCCCATTAAATTGCCAACCTGTATTAATGCACCCTGCAAGCAGTGTCTTTTCTTACGGTACATATGCTTTGTACCGATCAAAAAGAAGCTCTGCTCGCAGGGTGGTATTGATGCAACCACCTCCCATTTCTCTCAGGGTGGCCAATCAATAGGGGTTTGACTGTATGTAAATCAAGTGCAAATTTATTTCGGAAGGAGTAGCAAAAATTGGGGTGTTTACTGTTAGTCATGTCGTTACAACGTCAGAAAATATAATGAATTTATCATAGTAACCTGTCACTACCAAAGAGAGTAAGCAGTGGGTGTAGATTACATTTGTTTCTCTGTTTTGCTGCATGGCTGAGGTCCTAAGCAGAATAACAAGACAGTAATATCTTTCCGTATGCCGTATGCCTTTCTGACTGTTAGTACTTTTGTTTTTGCCTTACCCCGTTACCTCGGTTGTTTTTTTCGTTATCTTTGAAAGCAAAAGCCACATTCCTGAAAAGGAAGGTCTGAGTTGACCGTTTATACGTTTTTTCTTCGTCGTGAATTCCTTTTGACCCTTCTTTCTGTGTGGCAGTTTGTGCGCTACCAGTATTTGATGTATCGGTATCTGATGGATTAAACATTCGTTTTGCCTAACATGTTAATTCGGTGATTTTTTCTTTTTCAGAGCACCAGACCACCATCAAAGAGAGGTCTGCTGACTGTTTATAGTGACTCTCTTAATAAAATTCTGCTGATAAATTAATGCATCAATTCTCTTTAAGCACCAAACTTGAGCAAATATAACATGCATCCTTTCTCTATTTCTTCCTGAGGTCCTTCTGACTCGCCTGTAAAGCGAACAAAGCCAAGACCTTCAAGCAGACGCACAAGGGGTTTAAAACATATCAGTGAGTCATACATTGTAATCAGAATTCAAAACAAAACGTCGCATTTTGATTGGTTCTTACTTATGATCAATTGGAGGACAGACGCATAGATGACGTCTTAAACTTTGTTTTTTCTTGTTTCTTCACTATTCAAAACAGACAGATTCCATGTTGCCGTGCGTCTGATCAGTAATTGATATCAGAAGACGTCAAAATGTTGTAAGAACATCAGTGACACACTCGCCTAACGGGTCCTGTGCCACGTTTTTTTGTTGTTACCACATTTTGATGTCATCTTTGATCATCAAGAAGCCTAAAGGCTTTCACGCGGGATGCTTTGGTCGATGTTTTCGACAGAACAGAACATAGATACTCTTTCAACTATGTGATTCTAATTCCGAAATTTTCTATATACTGCAGCTGCCTTCACGACAAAAAGCCCTCTTTCGACAGTTTTCTCATACTTCTAGAAGAAAAATTAAATATACAGAAAGAAATAGCATTTAAAAACAAGTCTACTACTGTTTTTCAAAAATCCTTTCAACATATTATTTAACTGCATTGACAGTGTTTATGTTTTTTTTTTTTTGATTAGTAATATAATACTATCATACGGTACATATGCAGCGAGTGCAGCGTTAGTACGTTCCTGGTCTCATTCGCTGTTTAGTCAATTGTCAACGTTTGCAATTGATTAATTTAGGTACTTATGTAAAACGAAGAAGGGAAGAAAAAGCACTATCTTGGGCCAGCAGAAGACGTCTCGAATTCAGGCCTAACCACACTCTAGGTAAAAGTGATGTTTTTTTAATTTTACCATTGAGATATAAATCCAAAGTAATGATCCCATCCTTAGACTTCTTAGGATTAGAACGGACGGTTCTAGAACCCGTCGTAACCCTCGTAATAGGCTGATTTAGCAGTACAAATACCCAAATATGGTCAAATTCCGCGCGCCCTGCAGTCGTCATCTGACCATATTTGGATTTTTGTACTGCGCGCGCCGTCGTCAATTGACGTTCCCGTTCTCTTGCTAAATCAGCCTATTGATTAAACACTAGACGAATTATTCGTCAATTTATACCTAGACGGATAACTCGTCTTTAGTATAGTTCGGCCTGCGACGTTTTAGCTACAATAATGAATAAACATGTCGCAAATTCCGAAGCAGTCATTTAAGCCCCGTTCACACCACGCCAGAGAAATTTGAAAACGTAGCTTTATTTCTACGGTTAGGCCTACCGTCCACACTAATCCGTCAGGAAAACGGAGCTTTTCGAAAACGCTCTTCAAACTGGAGGAATTTGAAACCGCCGGCATTGAGTTTTAGTATGGATGGAAAACATTTTGAAAACGGAGTTTTGTAAAAATGATGAAGTCAAACACAAATCCAAAGTGGCCGGTGATTGTTGCGTTATTAAATTCCTCCGACTTAGTGTGGGCGGCAAACATGTGATACGGTTTCAGAGTGAAACTCCGTTTTCAAATTTCTCTGGCGTAGTGTGGAAGGGGCCTTAAACATCTTTCTTTACAACACTTCTGTAACCTTCGGTTAAGCTAAATAAATACTCAAAAGGGAAATCTGCAAAACCTTAAGACAACAAAGGAAGAGAAACCCAATATTGGTCAATATTCAGTTGTAGCCTTTGCGCGCAATAGGCGGAGACGTCAATAAGCACGTCGACCTCAATGTTTCCCTTGGGTCCAGTCATTAAGTGTTTTGTTATACCTCCCAACTCAAAAATAGAAAAAAATACTGCGAAGAAATCGTTTGCTTGACGTCGGCTGGCTCACAAATTTGCCGCGGTTTCAAGGAGCATGACTTGATCACGTTCGAGTCGAAAGTTCAAGTTGTTGTTTCCCTGGGGAGTTAGGGAGTTAGTGAGTTTTGACCTACGACACCTGACACATTCTCCACTCGGAGAACGTATTTGAGTTGGGAGGTATAACAAACAAATTTGTGCTCTCTGATTGGCTAACTTGCAAAAACATTTGTCGGGTGGTTACGGTAAGGCGCTGCGCGCTATAATAGTATTGCTCACCATTCTAGGTACTTCTGATAAAGATCAGTGTTCAACTGTAGAACGAAATGGAAAATCAGTACCACATTGGAGTAGTGAAACTTCTGACGGTACTGGCGTGATGTCGGAGAAATCTGAAGGTAACATATCATTTCAGTTTACCGTTGAATGAGTTGAGTCCAAAATAAAGGGTAGATCTGTTACGACTATGCTGTTTTATTTTCAATTTAGTTGAGATTGAAGAAGGTAGACCTGAGGACGAAGTCTTGGAAGGATTGGCACAGAAAATTCCTAAGGACTGGAAGAAGCTTGGACGTCGGTTGAGCATGACGGAAGCAGATCTAGATGCTATAAGTAAAGAGGAAGAGGAATACAGTGAAAAGGCTTATGCAATGTTACTGAAATGGAAACGAGCTGAAGGCGAAAGGGCAACGTTCTCGGTGTTATATAATGCCTTGTGTCACCGTTTGTTTCGTCGAAAAGACCTGGCAGAAGAATTTTGTTGTGTTTGCCATAACTAAGAACATCCCTTCCAAGGTAGGTATATTTATTCAGTATCCTTGTAAGGTCTTGTAAATAAGTCACCTAGATAAATCACACAAAACCTGCTCTTGATTACAAATATTTTGTGGAAAACATGGTCGAAACATCTTCTAATAAGGCACGCAGGTAATATTTACTTGGTAATTTCCTTCCAACAAAAAACTTATTCGCCGGTAGGCTTCCAAACGTTCTTGAATTTCTACCGACTTGCGAAAGTAGCGAAAATAAACTCTCGTCAAACTGATTGAACGTTCATTGATTTGACGATTTTGGCGAATTTTTGTCGTTTTGTCAAAGCCAAATCAGCTTGGCAGAGTAATGGCGACTTTTCGCCTGCCATAACTAGGTAAATAATCTCTCATCAGATACGTTCCTAACGTATTGGCGGATTTGACGATTTTTCCGAAGATTATGCAAATTGTCTTATCAGAGACGGTCCAAGCATATTTTGCAAAAATTGCCTAAATTTCGCCAGTAAATGTTTCCCTCGTTATGAATGAATGTTGCCCGAGCCCCATGCGAAAGAGGAAGCAGTATGTATTTCTCTTGTCTTCACGGTAAAAGCCTGTTACCCAAGTAAAGCAGAACGCTGTGCATATATTTTCCTCGTAAAACGAGTTAGCCGAGAGAAACGGAAAGCAATAGGCGAACGGGAAAGCAGCATGTATTCTCCTCATGTAAAAGCCTGTTACCCTATGAAACGGAAAGATATGTATTTACCTTATTGTAAAAGCGTGTCACTCGAGTAGAAGGAAAAGCTTGGCTATTTGAGTCATCCCTATTTTTTTCGTATAATTTTGTCAACAACCTTGGTAAAATTTCGTCAGATTCGTCAATTTTCTTGGGCTCTTCTAGCCAAGTGATCTCCATTCACTTGTATAATTTTGTCAACAAGCTTAGGCCCAGTTCATACGTCGCATTTCTGCCGTGTCGAATTCAATTCAATTAAGTGCGGCAGAAATGCGACTGACGATTCATACGTCGCACTTGTGTCGAATTTAATTCAGGATTAATACTGTCGGGTATGTCGGTCAGCGGAAAAAGTTTTAAACGCAGAGTATTCAATATGGCGGACGGAGATACTGAGGGACGAAGGACTTTAATTTTGCGAAAAGTTGTCCGCCAATGGAA